CAAAACTTTAGGTTATGGTAACCCAAGAGATATCGAATGGGTAATTAAAGACAATCATGTTTATATACTACAAGTAAGTAAACAATACACAACAAAACTTTAGGTTATGGTAACCCAAGAGATATCGAATGGGCAATTAAAGACAATCATGTTTATATGTACTACAAGTAAGTAAACAATACACAGGGTTACTTCATAAACAATCCATAAATGTCTAACAATTGTTTTCCTTTTGTTGTAAATTTCTATTTAGTGTTGCCAACTTCAATCATATTGCTTTCACATTGTTGTGAAGGTTTGTCTTAAATTTGTAATCTATTTTACTCTTCTATTACTATCAGCACTCAAAAGTTCTGTCTAAGTTTCCCTTGATTCGTTGTTATAACTGCCTAAAATATACCGTTTACAAACTGACATTGAGACATGCAGATGGTTTTGTATGCCATCTTTTTGTGAAGGAACAAAAAGCACAAACCATATTAATTATGTAGGCTATCAGTAGAGGATAATTTACAATTACTCAGTGTTTCCTTATATGGCATAGGCACGACCAATCACAACACTTGACATGGAATCTGATGAGGATATAATGACAGAGTTTGATACTCCATTAGCTATGAAAGATGAGTGGATCACAAATGCCAACATTGGGTAAGCATATATAAAAGTTTATAACATAGATTCTTCTTAGATATCTGAGGGCACATGTATGCTTACATGTAAAGTGTAAAATATGTCTATTTTAACCCTTACACCACCAGTTCCCTCTTTTCATCACAAATTCAAAAATGGTCCTGTTTATAGTCTGCCCTTTCCTTCAGAAGATTGGGACAAAAATATTCAAATTTTTTGAGTAAAAACTGAAAATTTTGTTCAAATTTTGTCAAAATTAGGGTTCATTTCCAGAAATATTGAAGAATATAAGAAAAAGAGTGCAACAAAATTTGGGCGAGAAATTGTGGTGGTGAAAAGGTTAAGGCAGTGTGTTAAGGTTCACTGGAGTACATTATTGCTTTCAAAGGGCATAACATTGTTGAATGTTATCATTTGTTATTTATTTAATTTTTCATTTGCTGTATATTGATATTACTTGGTATATTTATGATAAATAATTATATTTCTAAATAAATGTATAATTTGGAGAATTATGATAATGAGAAATATTTCATTGAACATTGTTGTTTTCTTTCACTTTTTTTCAGTGAAATGATGCCAGGTGCAATCACACCTCTGACAATATCTGTATTTGTTAGAACAATTGAGTATGTGATGCAGGTATAAATACAAGTGTAAACACACAATTTATATGATACATATACAGGCATAACCGTAATGTACAATATCAGATAATGCTTGCACAATCACACAATTCACAATATGTTATTGTTCGTATCCTCGGGGACGGAGCTACATCAAAGAACGTTCTATGCTGCTACGGCGCACACCACTGTACCATGTATTCTATGTGCTCTGCGTGAGCTGCTGTGGAACGCTGATTGAAGAGCCGATGAGAATATATATAATGTTGCACATATAGGAGTAATTTTGTTTCACTGTTCAGTAGAATCTCAACAACTATCGTAAAGTATGGTTTTCTGGGAGTTTTCGGCCTTTGTTTGCACCGTAATGGTTGCCAGGCAGTAAAAATGATGTTCGCCTCAAAGATAGTATTGGTTTTGATGACATTTGTCAAACTTGTGGTCATTTTTATTCCTGAAACTATTTTTGTGTGTCATTTACCATTTATCAAATTTCATTATAGCTATGTTTTTGTTCAAAATTTGGCCAGCCATTTCAGTCTCAATTCTGACGATGTGGTGTGAATTCATCACTATTCTATTGTACATATCTCAGACATGACTAGACAAATCGTGTTAAAACTTTACATATTATACATTAGACATCTTAGGTTACATATTCATCTGATTTAGTTTAGCAATACAATTCAAGACGGCCGACTGGTGGCCATTTTAGTGTTACAAATTACCTAAACTCATGGATTTCTACCATTCTTGAACCAGTTCTTAGGCATGCAAATTTTGTTGATTGAATTTTACACAAAAATTCTTGAGGCTTTGATGAACAATATATGTTCAACTATATCATCCATTTGGTTTTGGAAATGATGTTACAGAGTCGTATCCTAGATCTGACTTTAATGTTTTTGAATACATATTTATGTACATTAGTTGTAAATTAGTAATTTTTTTCAAGATGATCTTTAAAGGTTAAAGGTTTTGTTTTAAGATACTGATGACCAGCTGGTGGACATTTTCAAAACTTCTGCTCTGGAGCATTGTGTTTGATGTCCCTTTACCAATTAGATTCAAACATTACCCATTCACAATGCTATTAGGGATCCATATATGATAGCTGACAGACACAAGTAACAAAACTGAATATTATAGCCATCTTCCATACAAAGCTTGTCATTTCATTTCAGTTTTGTTTAAAATTTCATATTAAGGATTGTGTCAATCTTTAAAATTATGGCTATATATTATTGTTTTTATTCAGAGACTGCAGATTAAATTTGGATTGATTCCAAATACCTGGCCTGTACATAAAGCATTAGCTGTCAGATATGCACATGCATTTATTAATCTTCATGTAAGTAACCTTTAATTTTTATACTTAAATATTAATCTGGAGAGATGCTGAACTGTTCAAGTTACGAACATCTAGTTACAAAAATGACCATGCCCATATTTCAGAAGCCACACCCACTATTGAGCAACCACACCCATATTGTTACTCGATATTAAACAAACGTTAAAAAAAAAACAACAAATCTATGTTGCCTGTAACTTAAAGTTTGGTTAACTGTTATTAAAATTTGAGTTACTAAATTTGACTGCCATGCTGTTATAGGCCGTATAACCTAAACAATTATATATTAATTACCCCTTTGTTTTTCATTTGATTTATGAAGAAATTTGAAAAATAAAACATGTCAGCTCACGAATCTTTATAAATAATAGTACTACATAAATGTAGTGCAACGTAAATGCCAAATATCGAATAAAACAATAAAGTTGGAAATGGATGGTATTGAATATTTTGTTCCCCTTACATTTGATAAGCTGTATATATATTACTTATTGTACTAACATTTTCAGGTGGTTTATTACAGATGTTAGGAAACATTTCAACTGAGAGAGTCAGTATGAGCAATAAAGAGATGGGTGATTTGTCTATATTTGGTAGAGTAAGTAAATGTTTCACTTATTGTTCATCATCCATCAACAGTTTTGTCTGTTAACTTTTCAACTTCTTCTTTAAAACCATCGGTCAGATTGCTTTCACATTTACAAAGTAATTATCTTCAAGTTGGTGAATTGTGACAAAAACCAATAGCTTTATAAAAATAATTAATGTTCACTTTATCTTGTAGGTAGTTCATGATTTAACACCAAAAATGTTAGAAGATTATAATGGAAGAGAGCCATTTTGGAGAAGACACTGGAACTCTCTTAAATATATTTTGGTGAGATAAACCAACTTTATGATACTGACTTTAACAATTCAGGGATAAAGTGATGTGTAAAGCATATGCTACTTTTTTTTATTTTTGACTTCTGTGTGCAAAGCCCACAATAGGAGTCTTTGTGGTTACCCTGTCTGCATGTATGTGCATCATATATGTATACGTGTATAGAATTAACGTTGTGACAAATTTCATTCACTAACACTAAGTGATGACAACTTGACCATGTGACAACCCTCACTATTTTTCATAATTTACATTAATATTTAATCAAATTTAGCTTAAGTTGCATAACTTAGAGTTAGGGAAGGTTAAGGTATGGTACATTGTTATATTTGAATAAAATATTAACTGTATCAGACCTTCCCTCTTTCTCTAACCCCAAGCTACACAAACTTTGTAAATTCGGTTACAATTTGTATGATGTTGTTTCATTTTTAGCTCCTGAGGCACACAAGGGAGATAATATTTGATTTCTATATAGAAAGTGTTTTTTTTTACAGATGCAACATTTATGTGATGCAATGATGGTGGCACTTATTTGGTATAAAGAGTATAATAGTTTATAATTTTGTTTACAGTATAATATTTTGAATCGTAACAGACTTGATTGCTTACAACGCATGGCTGATACAATTACTTTTAAATATGCAAACGACAATAGCAGCTCTCTGGACCTTTATCAAGAAATTACTGACAAATTACCAGATTATATGCAGGTAATTACTACAGATATGAATGTTGTGCATATTGTAATAAAATATACATTTAAAAAAAAAAACTATAATAATAATTTTCAGCAAGCATAAACTCTTTAGTCTATATTTTGAAAATGTTTTCCTCACTGTTGCCGGCATCTCATTTGCATAATTAATGAGGTAGGTTGGGTGGAGTTTAAAGAGGTTTGGAGAATATTACATCACATAGTTGAGGTGATTTCTAATTAATAATTGTTGTTTGATTATAGGCATGGGACATTAGTGTAGATAACACTGCACCAAGTGGAATTTACAGTGGGGTTCTTACAGGAATTTTGGCATCCTCGCACACCGGTAAACGTAAGTAGAGTTTTGAGGGTATTCTGCACTTAGCTTTCAGAATGATATCAACCATGGTCATAGAAGTTCTGACTGTGATCATGAATACCATATAAATTAATGGAAGTCAATGGTAGTCATGGTTGACCATCAAATATCTTGGTTGCCCATTCCCTGAGGTGGTCAGAGACACCAAATGGCAGTTGAAACTTCTCTAACCTTAGTAAGATTTTCACTGAACATTGATAAAAAAATATTCCACTGTCATCAACATTATAACTGAACCTTATTGAACTAGTATTGTATAACCAGCTAATAATAATGGTTGACCTGTGCCAATGCAAACATGCATAAAATTAACAAAATTAAAACAGGAAGTGTAGATGAGAATTTTACTTTTTACTTTAATTCACACAGAATATATAAATTAGCTGTAACAGTAAACGATATTTTATATTGTAGATTCATTTCATCATTGTGGTGGTGGTGCATTGCTTAATGGTTTTCATGAGTTCATTAAAATTATGAAGTAAACCAAAGCATGTATAGAGAGAATTGAAGACATTGTATCCATGCTTAGTAGGTACATTGTAACTGTTAAAATGCTATTGTGATTTGCAATTTAAAAATCCAATGAACTGTTTGTGTAAAAAAAAAATGTGAAAATGCAAACAAAATAAAAAAAAGTATTAATACACAAAATTAAAATAAAAACATAAATCAATTATTCACAAATATATGGTTTATTAATACATATGTAAATATTTACTACATAAAATTATCCAGTTATTCATTGATATAATTGCCCTGTTTACGTTATGGGATCTCAGAATGTGCCAAAATGTTTAATCCTTTGTGTTTGCATAGGGAATATATAGCAGTTGCATTCACATTAGTCGACTCATGCTGAAATCAATGTTCTGCATTCATTTCATTCATTACTACATTATCCGACCATATCTAGCAGCACTTCCCTTCATCACCATTTCATACTAGTATGAATCAGGGCATGATTTCAGTCAGTGCTGAGTGTTCAGGCAGCAAATCTCGATATGTGCCGAGTTTCGGTCCTGAGCATTTATAGAGACCGAGATTGATTTTTTTTTTGGCATGTGCCGAGATCTCTAACGTGATCACCACTATTAACATTTCAGACTGGAACCATGACCATTTCTCAGATATGGCTACATTGTTATCAGATTGCAAAGATGTTGCCAGTGCTGAAGTACCCATTGCCATGGAGGTAAATATACAAGTACTATGTCAATCTTATTGGACACCACTACATATTGTGCCAAAATAAACTGATCATAGTAAAATCAATGGGTGAAGTCTGCAATAAATATAGATATTGCTAGTTGGTAGTTCTTGGTAATTATTCAATTAGACAAGATGTTTTGGGCAATGGCCAATCATCAGTGTAGTACAATGTACATGTATCTGACTAGAGGTAAATGTAATATAACAATATGATTTAGTGACTAACATTAGGTCAAGTCTGTTAATAACCAATTAGAATGCTGTGTGAAATGATAAAATTTTTGAATATTGACAATGGTGAATGCAAAGTCTTTTTCTGATGTTGGGCTGTTGGTATAGATTTATGGCAAAACAAAAATAAAAGCCAAAAAATTAGCCTTGAGTTCTGGTTGTGTATACTACTCATGGCATTACTGTGAAATACTTTATTTTCGCTTGGAATTAACTTTCGTTATTTTCGCTGAAGGAATGATTCAGTGAAAATAAAATCCAGCGAATATACCCTTTTTCCTATAAATTTATTCCAGCTAAACTAAAGTATTTTACAGTATATTACTGCTGGTTTTATGCCCATAGCAACTAATTCACAACAATCTATGTTTGGGTGTGTTATTTCCACTCTAATATATTTACTTAACTTTTTGACAGAACAATACAATTATTTCCAGGCAGTTACCAAGGGCATTGTTGACTGTGATAAATCTGATGAATTCATGGCTATGGGCACTGAAGAGGCTATTAAGTGGTTGAAAAGTAGTGATAGTGGTCTTGCTGGAAAACAATTCAGAATATTTCTAAAAGATCATGGCCACCGCTGTATCAGAGAGGTATATATAACTCAATTTTGTTTAGTCATATTTATTTATTTGTTTGTTTGTTTGTTTATTTATTAATTCATGTACATGTAGTTTTATACACTGTAAGATGGTTGTCTCAAATTATTGGGAGATCCTGATGAAATTCCTATAAAAAAGTTCTAAAAAGGCTCATTTTTGCATATTTTCTCCACCGAAATCAACAATTCTGTTACCTTTTTGAAACACGAAAATGTGTTTATTTATTTTTTTATTTACTTCTCACAAATAATATGCAAATACTGTAAAGTATGTCTCTTTCGCAAAATTTAGCACGGGAACTGATTCGCTAATTCAAGATGTCTTTTTTCTTCACACACACTTTGTAAACAACACAAAAAAAACGTACTGACATGATAGATACACTTTATTGAAAAGTAAATTAAAGTATTCATTGTGGTCATTATTTCAATGAAAATAAATAAATGAAGTGATGCTGATATATTATTACGGAAATTAGTAGTACTTAGTAATTTTTGAGTCCAATATAAAAGGTCAATGTTCTGAATGTAACGCAGCAACGATACCCGCTTTTTCAAATCCCTGTTGAATCAGTTTTTTATCATTGCGAACAGAATCAAATTACACTTGACAGTTTTTCTTTGTTTTTATGGAGGTGATAACTGCGCAGTTGTTTCGGCACGCGACAGACAAGTATTGTGAAACCAGGAAATCAACAATGACAAGAGAGATTCGCTAAATCAACATTTCGCTATTACGTCATTTTACATTAATTTGCTAAAATTGCATGTCGCTTTTTCAACATGTTTTACAGTATTATGCTAATAAAAACCCTGATACATGGTAATGACCTTGGTACATTGTACATAGGAATTATGCTAAAATTATACGAATTATGACCCTAGTTCACAGGAATTCTATAATTATGCTAAAGGGACTTTGCTTCACAGAGACTATACAAATATTATGCTATTATGGTTCTTGGTTTATGGAAATCAATCAAATATGCTAATCAGAACCCTGGCTTATGTGAATTATGATTATGTGAATTATTTTAATGATTGATGACCCCTAATTATCTGTACTATCACTTCTTAGACTGACAGATTTAACGATTAAATCAGAAGGAGTGCCAAATATAAATATAAAACTGCTATACTGTGGTATATACTGCAGTGATTATGAAACTATCATAACAGATATCCTAATTAAATGTTTTGATTGTTATTGACTTTTATTGCAGGCTGAGATGAGACTACCTTCATGGCATATGGATGCTTCTACTGTTATACCTATTATTCAAGTAAGTTGATTTGAAACCCTAATTTTCAGCAATTTCATTGATATCTCAAAAACCACTCAATGTATTATATGAGACTTGATACATACCATAAAATGACTAATTTTCACTGGCTTTAAATTTTGCTGATTTTAGCATTTCAGGCATGTTCAGTGGGTTTTAAATTCTATGCTCAATTTTACATAAATAAGCAAAATTAAAACCCAGTGAATAATTACCCCTTTTACAGTATGTGCTCTAGGATAATCCACAGACCTGATTTATTTTGGGCTGCAATCTATGCATATTAATTTTCTGATTGCATAATATTTATGTGATATTATGCTGTTGCACATGGACCTCTGAACAGATTTCAAAGAAAATAAATACATGCCCTGGAATAACAATGGACATATTATTTCTCAGTTGAAATCTGTGAATATTTAAATTACATTATATGTAACATAAATAACAGATTTCACATTTTGGTGATATCATGAAAAACATTCAACTACTTCAATGAAACTTGGTACAAGTGCCTTGATATGCTTTGCCATTGCCTAATTGTTGATTTAATGGTGTTCGTAAGTAAACAATAACATGATTTTCATTGACTGAATACTAGCTCACCTCCCATCCATCTCGGCTTCGCATCGGGAACTTCTTGATACATCGAGGTCAAGACTTTGACATGCTCTTACAAGCATGTGGTGTGTTACAAAGTTATATATTTTTACAGTATGATATATAAGCTGTATGATTATATATATATGGTATAAATAATATGGTATAAATACCTCCATAAAGTGTAATATGATATATACAGGACTAATCACATGGTTGTATCACATGATAAACTATTATTATTCCTTAGACAATGTTGAAACATCCTCATGGAAGCAACAGGAAAGAAACTACCATTGAAGATGCTATTGGTAAACTTAAATCACCCGTTAGTTTCATTGGAAAGTAAGTTCTATATTAAACTTGCTAGAATCTAATATTTTCTCATTACGCAAATGATATAAAAAGACGACCAACTCTTGCATGAAATTTCAACTAAAGAACTTTTTCTGTCTAGATATATTTATTAGTGGCTGATTTATCCTGTTGATTATTGCAGTTTATAGATGCTGCTTGTCATGCTACTGGTGGAAATACTGAATTGTTTTGAACATGGATTTACATTTGTACCATAACTCAAAACTTGAATTAACTGTTAATTAAAGTTCCAGTTACTAAAACAAACAAAAACATTAAAAAAAAATCTATATTGCCTATAACTCAAAGTTCAGTTTAGCATTAATTTCTGAATTATGAGTGGGCTTATTTTTGTATGTGTTGGTTCTTGGATATCTAAGCTTCGCTGTCCTGTACTTCGTTTAGTAATTCAAACTTCCCAGTTCGCGTAAAAAGGGAGAGTTTTGCAATTTTGACATCGAAAATGCCTTTGCTTCATTATTTGCTGAGGGACGGCTTAGGTATGTGCTCTGTAACTTACAGCACATGAACCTAAAAACGTTAGGTAATCAAACAAAAATTACGTTGTACTAAAGTCCAAAAAGTACGTTCAAGGTCTTCATTTTTTTCGTAGCATAAAAACGATTTACTCCCTCGCTTATTGTGACACCCTCAAATCAACTGATTTCCATTCCCCTCAAGAGTCAAAATGGTATGTGCCTCCATTTTACGCTACGACTGGAAAAAGTCTTTTTTGCCTGTTCTATGAAAAGATGAATTATACATATTGTAGCCACAGAGTTGCTGAATTCTCAGTTTTACTGTATATAATCCATACTCACAGATGTTACAATTCTTGATAGGTACTTCCTAAGGTGGATATTACCAAGGGCTAGAAAGGCAGTCGGTTGGCGTGAATCTGGCAAGGTAAAAACTATACATGCACACAATCCAACTATTTATTAGTTAATTATTTGTTGGGTTTCCAAGCATCCATCTTGTGATGCACAGCAGAAACTCATGTCTTTAGAGAGATGAGAACTTATGCCATTACCTATATCAAGCTCAGATCTGTAAGTCCACAAACTAGCATTATTACTTTGGTGTGTACATGTCTGTCTTTAGACAATACCGGTATAACACATATGTTTGTCATACAATTATTATTAAGTCACATTCATTTGTTTTTTGATCAACCATATATGGCTATACCTGACCCCCATTTATGTGTATATCGTAGTATAAAACATAACAATGTTTGCATTTATTTCTCAGGAATATAAATGTAAATATTGTTTTCCAGGTACAGAAAAAAATCATGGTCAAAGTAACATTGAATATACATTGAATAGTGAGATACATTATGTGACTAATTGGCTCCATCTGATTGGCTTTTGCTCAGAAGCATATAAGGCTATGCCATTAACACTCAGTAGACAATGCATTGAACATTTTCTTTATTGTGACACTTGACCTTCGACCTTTGAAAATCATTGTCCTATATATGGTACAAATTGTGACCTTTGACTTCATTATTGGGAAATGTACCTTAAAACCACTTATTACTGGCTCAAGCTAGTCAGATTTACTTAAATTAAATATGATAACATCCACCAACAACATTAGGTAACTAACTTCTGGAAACAATCAAGTTACACTCAGGCTAAAGAATCAAGAAACAGACTAAAAATTCATGTTGAGACCAACATTACATCAATTACTTTATATTGTTTCAAGTCAGCAAGTCACTTCTTTGAAGTTACATTCAAAGTAGAGTACAACAAACATTAAATAATATTTAAGTTCAAACAATTAGTTTCAATCAAGTTACATCAAAATACAAAAAAATGTTACTGTTATAATCAAGATACATGCATCAAACATGTTACACATAAGAAACACTCTGATATTGATCTCAAATAATCTAATCAGAAAAATCAACATTTGACATTTCAAATGTTTGTACACATAATGTCATCATCATTGTGACAGTAATATTAAATCAAACCCAACTATGTGAGTGATATTTTTTGAACTTTTAGAGGTATATTATTTTTAATTAATTTTTAAACCTGATAATTAATTAACAAATTAAGCTGAGGCTGGTAATATTTCTTTAAGTTAATGCAATTCATTGCAATTACAAGTTTGTCTTCAATCACTGTGTTGACTTTGACTTGATATGTGTTATAACTCATTAACTGTTAAAATTGTTGTAATATATCACTGTGTTACTCTTATTGCTTTACAGTCACTGGCAGTGAAAGTTTCCGATCATGTCAAGGGTGCATATTGGAAACTAGCTGAATTATTAACACGAGAGGTGAGTTTGCATGCATGGTGGTAATTGTTTGGAAAATTACACATTATAACTTTATACACAAGTCTAAATATTTTGCAAATCAATTTAAAGCATCTTTATAGGCAGTTGAACACCGAAGGAATTGGCCTTAGGAAGTTGAAAATAAGTCAACCACAGGCAGTTGAATGATAAATAAATCAGCCCAAGGCAGTTGAAGAGCAAATTAATCGGCCCTAGGCAGTTGATTGGTAAATTAATCAGCCCTAGTCAGTTGAATGGTAAATAAATCAGCCCTAGTCAGTTGAATGACAAATAAATCGGCCCTAGGCAGTTGAATGGTAAATAAATTAGCCCTAGGCAGTTGAATGGTAAATAAATCGGCCCTAGGCAGTTGAATGGTAAATAAATTAGCCCTAGGCAGTTGAATGGTAAATAAATCGGCCCTAGGCAGTTGAATGGTAAATAAATTGGCCCTAGTCAGTTGAATGGTAAATAAATCAGCCCTAGTCAGTTGAATGACAAATAAATCGACCCTAGGCAGTTGAATGGTAAATAAATTAGCCCTAGGCAGTTGAATGGTAAATAAATCGGCCCTAGGCAGTTGAATGGTAAATAAATCGGCCCTAGTCAGTTGAATGGTAAATAAATCAGCCCTAGGCAGTTGAATGGTAAATAAATCAGCACTAGGCAGTTGAATGGTAAATAAATCAGCCCTAGTCAGTTGAATGGTAAATAAATCAGCCCTAGGCAGTTGAATGGTAAATAAATCAGCCCTAGGCAGTTGATTGGTAAATTAATTAGCCCTAGGCAGTTGAATGGTAAATAAATCAGCCCTAGGCAGTTGAATAGTAAATAAATCAGCCCTAGGCAGTTGAATGGTAAATAAATCAGCCCTAGGCAGTTGATTGGTAAATTAATCGGCCCTAGTCAGTTGAATGGTAAATGAATCAGCCCTAGTCAGTTGAATGGTAAATAAATCAGCCCTAGGCAGTTGAATGGTAAATAAATCAGCCCTAGGCAGTTGAATGGTAAATAAATCAGCCCTAGTCAGTTGAATGGTAAATAAATCAGCCCTAGGCAGTTGAATGGTAAATAAATCGGCCCTAGGCAGTTGAATGGTAAATAAATCGGCCCTAGGCAGTTGAATGGTAAATAAATCGGCCCTAGGCAGTTGAATGGTAAATAAATCGACCCTAGGCAGTTGAATGGTAAATGAATCAGCCCTAGGCAGTTGAATGGTAAATGAATCAGCCCTAGGCAGTTGAATGGTAAATAAATCAGCCTTATGCAGTTGATTGGTAAATTAATCAGCCCTAGGCAGTTGAATGGTAAATAAATCAGCCCTAGGCAGTTGAATGACAAATAAATCTGCCCTAGGCAGTTGAATGGTAAATAAATCAGCCCTAGGCAGTTGAATAGTAAATAAATCAGCCCTAGGCAGTTGAATGGCAAATTAATTGGCCCTAGGCAGTTGAATGACAAATAAATCAGCCCTAGGCAGTTGAATGGTAAATAAATCAGCCCTAGGCAGTTGAATGGTAAATAAATTGGCTCTAGGCAGTTGAATGACAAATAAATCTGCCCTAGACAGTTGAATGGTAAATAAATCAGCCCTAGGCAGTTGAATAGTAAATAAATCAGCCCTAGGCAGTTGAATGGCAAATTAATTGGCCCTAGGCAGTTGAATGGTAAATAAATCAGCCCTAGGCAGTTGAATGGTAAATAAATCGGCCCTAGGCAGTTGAATGGTAAATAAATTGGCCCTAGGCAGTTGAATGGTAAATAAATCAGCCCTAGGCAGTTGAATGACAAATGAATCGGCCCTAGGCAGTTGAATGACAAATGAATCGGCCCTAGGCAGTTGAATGGTAAATGAATCAGCCCTAGGCAGTTGAATGGTAAATGAATCAGCCCTAGGCAGTTGAATGGTAAATGAATCAGCTCTAGGCAGTTGAATGACAAATGAATCGGCCCTAGGCAGTTGAATGACAAATGAATCGGCCCTAGGCAGTTGATTGGTAAATTAATCAGCCCTAGGCAGTTGAATGACAAATAAATCAGCCCTAGGCAGTTGAATGGCAAATTAATCAGCCCCAGGCAGTTGAATGGCAAATGAATCAGCCCTAGGCAGTTGAATGGTAAATGACTCGACCCTAGGCAGTTGAATGGTAAATAAATTGGCCCTAGGCAGTTGAATGGTAAATAAATCGGCCCTAGGCAGTTGAATGGTAAATAAATCAGCCCTAGACAAGTTAATGCCAAATGAGTTAGAATCAGAGTTAGTTGAATTTCAACTAAATTTTTGTCACATTTTTAAAAAATGGTATCAATACTTACAGGCAATGTATATTATGTCCATTGATATGAATATGGTATTTAAAGAGTTAATGATGGTACTATGTAGATCATTAAATGAAGTCTACATGAATGTAATCTTCTGTACTAGTAATCTTTAAAGTAAGATATGCACTCATCTAGTAAATAAATTCTGGAATAACATAATGTAAATATTGAGTAAAACATAGTGTTCATTATTTTTGTTTTTTAGGGTAGAATTCCAGACAAGGACTTGCTGTTCTTCTTTACTCACCAAGAAATTGGAGTGCTGATTAAAACACGTAATCCAAGTCTTGTTGCTAAGTGAGTCATAACACTTGAAATGTCTCATTTTTTAGAGTCTACTCAATTTATTCTTGTATTCTATATTTATATGTTGTGTGTAAACATTGTCTTGTAACTCATAATAACTGCAAAGTAGAATAAGTCCTCACCCATGGCTCAGATTGGTACAAAACCCAGGAGGTTACTTGTGTCCACTGATGTCAACCTTATATGTATTTATAACCGTTTCTATCATGTTTTGTTTCATCAAATGTATTGACACTAGGTACATACATGCATTCCTTTTATGTAGAAAAATTATATAGATTATAATATAATTATTATAGTCTGTAGTAAATTAGCTAATTTGCATAACTTAAATGTAAATGTTATCAGCTTTTTTTTTTTGTATTTTACCAAAACAAGAAAAAAATGATTTATAATATCAATATAATGATTTTAGAAAATGGGAGTGTTCGTACGTTTTTAGCTTGTATGATAAATACACAAAAACACATTCAGTTGATGTCAAGTCTATTTTTGAGGAAGTTTTGTTGATCCAAATCAATCTTTAAAACATGTTTTCAGAAGTATTATTTAATAAAATATTGTTATTGAACATCTTCCTGTTGCATTTAATACTCTAAACACAAAAATAAATATAAAATGCATCATTTTTAAATTTTCTGTCTTTGGTACAAGAAGCAATGTGATGTGAAAAATAAGGGTGGGATTGTCGCCATGTGATGGGAACTGTAAAACATTATGACACATGACACACACTATTATGGGAAATAAGCCATAAAATCTGCAGTGAGGACGTGCCATCAGAGAAAGGCTTAGCCCCCCCCCCCCCAAGATTGCAACGTATTTGACATTTCGTCCAGGACCCCAATAAAGTTGTCATCTTGTATCATTACCTTAGGGTCGATTAACTGGATTTCAATAGATGGCAACCCAGTCATAACCCTGCTTGCAAGTGATTTATTTTATAATGTCGGTAGCGTATTCACTATGTATTCATAGTCCACATTTCAGGGATGGCCGTTACGATATAATTGTTGATTTCTACACTTATATTCTTACGTACTTTTCATTTCAGAGCTATTCGGCGTAGAAGAGTGTTACCAACATTGATGGACATGGAGTTTCCAGAAATAAGTGTTGGATTACCACAACCTGTAAGATGTTTATTTATATTATTGCAATGTGTTCTTCATAATTTTACAAATTTTGTTGAATATTATGTACATTTTTATGTATTTTTTATAAATTTGAAACAAAAATGACATAATTTCCCACTTGCTACAGCTCTTGATCAAAATCTTTAAAGAAAATATTGTGCCTTGTTAAATTTGAATGGTAACATTACAATAATTTACTGTGCCATTCTAAATAAATAGTGCTTGAAATTCCCAAAGTAAGACTACATACAAATACAACTTTTGATAAAAACCAGCTAAAATGCTTCAATATCATTTTTTTTTCAGTGAATATATACCGGTATATGTTTTTGGTAAAAAATGATATTTCTAAACTTTCATTTTTAGTGAATATTCATTTTTGATAACGAATGCTATTTTTGAAAATAATTGCCTTATAGTTTTGATATTCCATATGCCCATATACCTACTTTTGGTAAATAAAATTACATTTTTAACTTCAGCCTTATATATAGTAGTTGATATAATAATAATGGTCCATGCAAGCACCTTAGTAAAGTTGTGGTTGGGCGAATTTGAAATGAGGTTTCACATATACGCAGCTTTACACACACATGAGTTTCAGCCGACATCTAAAACTACCAGAAATATTTGAATTAATATTAGTATTAATAATAACTCTTAACGCTATGGGAAGTGCATCCTCACATCAGGGCAATAATTTGCCCGTATCACACCTGGCCCAGTCCCCCAGCTTTCTTCATTGTAATTACACCTACAAGGTATATGATAAAACCTTTTTGCTGCCCTTGGTTACTCTTCAGCCACACGACCTTGAGCCACAAAAGTCATATCCAGTCCATAAAGAATAAAACCATCAATATCTTGAAATATTTTGTGATAGTCAGCCATGCATGATGTCCAAAGGTCAATCTGCTTGTACGAACCAATCAGATTGCCAGGATTTTTATTACATTGAATGGAAATATTGAGAATATTACACTGCATTACATTGAACTGCTAATGATATATGGTCAAAAGAAGTTATGAACCATTTACATTGTGTAAAAACGAACGAAAACATTACGTATATGATAGATTTTGAAGTACTGTCCAGATACACATGTCTAGAGAATCATCATTGATAGGCGTTGCTTGTAAAATGAGCTTATAAAAACGTGTGATATTGTTTTTGATTTGTTAGTTGAAAGATGAAGAAAATGTGCACCTGGCCCATTCTGTTCAAATGTCAGGTAAGATGTGTGGGTATAATTAATACACACCAGACATCTTGGTATGGACATATATATAATAACCATTTGACTTGATGTATATGTTTCATTTACTCTGTCCAACAAAATAAATGGATTGAGAAATGCAAGCATTTTATGCAGGAAATATTAAGAGAATAATTTATAAGTTGATTGGTGAATGTCATGTTTTGGTTGAGTAGATCTACCGGGTAGTACATTAAATGTGTCATCGTTCTTGCTTTGTAGGTATGCCAGTATGTCATGGTGTTGTGAAAGGTACTGCAAGGGTCATAACTAAATTAGAAGATGCAAAACAAATCCAGGTAAAAGAGAATCAATTTGCCATATACATTGTTACCACATGTACATTCTTGACTCTCCAGTTCTATACATATATTTTCACAAAATTCCATGTAGTAAAATTTTATTATTTTTTTTTTATTAGAGTGGTGAAATTTTAATTGTACCATATACTGATGTTGGTTGGACTCCATATTTTCCATTGATTGATGGTTTAGTGACTGAGTTAGGTGGCCTTCTCTCCCATGGTGAGACCTGCGGAATAATTTATAACAAGCTTTTTAAATTAGTATTGCTGAACTACCTCACTGATTGGCTGAAAGCTTTGGATATGAGTAAATATCCTGACTTGACAGTTGGATTACTTTGCATCTGGTCTAGAATGCACCATATCAAGTGGGGTTTGACCATATGAAGAGTATACTATAAGCCTTTCCGTAAAGACAGAATTTTGAAACAATTTCTGATACTCAGTGTTGTAGGACCCCCAGAGAAATTTTTACTGCTACAAACTTTTGCTGACTGGTGAAAAAATTGGCAAAGTTATATATTAAAATGAAATCATTGTTAAATTTCACTATGGAAAAACCTTGTGAAAGATATGAAATCTGGCTTAACGACCTCATGCAAGCTATACATTTCTACCCAGGTGCCGTGGTTGCAAGAGAGTATGGCCTTGCTTGTGTGGTAAATGTAAAGAGGGCTACTAGTGTATTCAAATCAGGTGAGAAAATTTAAACTTCTTTCTGGGATTGTTTTAACCTGTGATTTTTTTTTATGCACAGAAATTGTATACACCTCAATTGTAAAATAAAACAAGTTTTCAGTTCCAAATGACCACTATTAGAAAATAACCTAGTCAATAGTGGCGTTCACGTTAGTGTGTGAACGATCAGGCCCAAGTCGGCACATGCTGAAAAAAACTTGATCTCGGCCCTACAGATGCTGATGTCTGAACGCTCAGCATAAACCAAAATCACGCCCTCAGTGGTGAATTTAAGAGAACATATACTGATTCATACTAGTATGACATGACAATGGAGGGAAGTGAAGCCATATATGGTCGGATGTTGTAGTGCATGAATGAATGAAATGAATGCAAACCGTCATTAAGCAATGTATATTTATGTGCTGCTACAACCGATATTTATTTGCAATTGCTACATCCACGTGAAAACTAATTGTTTTTCAAATCTTCTTTGCCATTAATGTGCACGATGGCTTGTAGTAAATATCATACCAACAAATGGATATAATTTCAATATAGCAATTATTATTATCATCATATGCGTATCATTTTCCAATGAGGGCGTGATTTTAGAACAAGTGGATACCATGTAGGTCCCAACTAACGTGAACTGTAACCATTCTCCAAACTTGAAGGATTAAAAATTTCAGCACATGACGAGATCCCGTAATGTGAACATAGCACTTATTCCCAATCCCTCTTTTTATTTGATCTTGATAAGTTATTTGACTATAAACTCTATGATTAAACCTTTCACTTGGCCATATGCCAAGAATTTGTAGTGCTTTTTCACATTTTCAAGAATTGTCTATGCCGATCTTTATCTAAATTAATCACCATACAATTATTCCAATACAATTATGTCAGACAATAATATAAAATAAATTAGGTACCGACCTCGTCCTGACGTTTGTAGAGTATGGAAGTGATTTTCACAAGTCATATTATTTTGTATAGCCTAATGTGAAATTATTTATCATTTTAAGGAGACAATCAAGTTTTAATAATATTATTTTATAAACAGAATTTAATAAAATAAAATAAAATAAAAACAAAAATAAAAATAAAAAGTATTCAATATACATAAATCACAAGAAGCTATAAAATTATGATTTAATAACATTATTTTTTCATTAATTTCAGGTGATTATGTTCTGTTAAATGGAGTGAAAGGAACTATTGAAAAGTTGGAGAAGTAGAAAAAAAGTTCCATTTAAGTGTGAAATAATGCTAGATTAGTGTAATGATTTTGCTGTATAATCATGTATTCAGAGCTAGATCCTCTGTTTTTGCTAAAGACCAAAGCACCATATTCATGTACATGTTTATAATCAAGAAATTCATACAATAATAAATAAATCAGCATTTGGTGACATTACACCTTGTCAGAGCAATAATCCTGGGCTGCAAGGATAATCACACATGATTTAAATGTGTAGGGAAAAAGTAATCAAAACAACATAGCAAAATATAAATACCTTTGATTGTATATTTGTTTGATACAGAAATCTATATAAAGACCACCTGTCTATAGTGACCACTCTTGGTTGTACCATGAATAACCTATGACCAACCTGTGTATAAAGACCACCAGTTTTATGTGACCACCCTTGCAAAAAAATTGTTGGAGATTCGCCTTCGTCAAACTTATTTGATTTTGATCAACTCAAATAAATATGTTTTTGTTTCAACAATACCATCTCATCATTTTCTGAACAAATAGTATGTAAAATGTACGAGCTGGTAATCCATAAAAAAATATTCCAAGCCTCCATATAAACACCACCTGTCTATAATGACCATTTTAATGTAGTCTCTTGGGTGGTCGCTATATACAGGTTTGACTGTAGTACATCATTGACTAAAATAATAGTTTTGGCATTTTAAATTACTAGAATGTGCTATTTAAAGTGCATAATTTGTACTTGCTCAGAGTCCGTCATTAGATAGAATACTAGTTTGTTTGTTTGCTGAAATATGTGAAACATTTAGCTAGACTGTATTTGCTATTTTAGCTAGAGGCAGATCTCCATTATCGGTGCATGTGGGTCAAAAATGATTCAGGATTATAGTACAACAAATTCAGCGATTCTTTTATGCCAACTTTTTTAGCAGGAAATTAAAGTGTATGTGCTTCAAATAGAGAAAATATGGTAGCTTGGAACTGTGTATGTATTAACAGAATGATAAAACAAATATTCCAATTTGCACTCGACTTTGTCGATTGTTTTTTTGGATATCACTCTGACGTCTTTTCTTCGCCGAATCAGTTTTATTAACAGGTGGCCTGCCTATCTTCATAACTACAGTTGCACGTGAATTTTGGATCAGATTAGATTTTCCCGCAAGACGGGCACAATACAATGGCCGACAGCAAAATGTAGTACTCCCTAGGTTTGCGTGACTGTGCACTCACCGAAGCAGCACACTAAGCAGCACTACATCATGGGATTTATAGTCTTGAGACTAAAAGTGACTTAGGCTCTGAGTATAATTTTTCGCAAGAAAGAAAACTTGATTTCTTGCGAACGCCGCGCTTGTTTTAATTGGTTGATATAGCAAATTGACACATTTTTAAAGGCCTTCAAATTAAAATAAGAGACAATACAACTTTAAAGTTATCAGGATTGGTTTACAATTACAGATTATATTGGATACTATGAAATCTGTAAAGAGGGGTCAAGTCAGGAAATCAGGGTGATTTATATGCAAAATTGGTTATAATGGTTGAGTCAACATTTTACATGCAGTTTATTTCAACCAGACTGTTTATCCTCGCTGGTTACGAGATGTAAAATAATATTTTATAGACTGTATTTTAATAATAATTTTTACTTCAAGTTTGAATATGTTAATGTTGATTTTATGCGTTTAATGAGTTTTTAATGAACTTGTCTGAATGTTCAATAAATCACAAACTAAAAAGAGTATTCTTAGAGTTTTTGTATTTTGATGGGTATTACCTTTAATTAATGATGTGAGATTTATGCCTCAAGTTATTTTAACACTGATGGTTATAGTTATTAAGAGTTAAACCCTCATATCTTAGCAAGATGTCAAGAAAATCAAGGGTGTCAAGAAGTCAATGAGTTTTTCAAGTAAAAGTGATTTCATAACTCACAACACAGAGAACTGTCTCAGATTGTTAAGACCTTGGAGGTGCTGATGGGAGAGATGTTTTGAGACAAAATGGACGCCTTGCCCTGAATACAAGTTTGATGGAGGTCTAACTAGAACCCAATTACTGACAAATAAAAATGATATATATGAACCTCAAGACATACAGCCAAAAGGTGATGTTTGGTCAAAAAGTAAACACAACCTGTTCACATGTAGCATCCACCAGACCAATCTTAGTTATAATAAAAAGTTTCTGTAAGAATCTGATGCGGAAGGCTATAGTGGCAAAATAAATTTGACTCTGAAAGATAAACCAAAGTAATTGGAAGATCGGCTCTTATTTTGTGGTGGCTGAGATAGGGCTGCGATGTGTAGAGAAGTAGAACAGACTACCATGAGAGAAAGTCAATCAAAAATCCGGAAACTTGAAGTATTTGTATAATGTTGTCAAAATACAATACAGAGCTGTGATTGGTTCAAATCAAAGTGGAAGATTCCACTATCATAGCAACCAGTAATTAATCTTAGTTACCGGGTTGAAGAGGCGGCAAGACCAACACCTAACTTGCAACATTAAATCAATAAACAAGATACAATGTAACACGATGTTATACAACACAGGTAAACAGTAGAGGCGGCAAGACCAACACCTACCTTGCAACATTAAATCAATAAACAAGATACAATGTAATACGATGTTATACAACACAGGTAAACAGTAGAGGCGGCAAGACCAACACCTAACTTGCAACATTAAATCAATAAACAAGATACAATGTAATACGATGTTATACAACACAGGTAAACAGTAGAGGCGGCAAGACCAACACCTAACTTGCAACATTAAATCAATAAACAAGATACAATGTAATACGATGTTATACAACACAGGTAAACAGTAGAGGCGACAAGACCAACACCTAACTTGCAACATTAAATCAATAAACAAGATACAATGTAATACGATGTTATACAACACAGGTAAACAGTAGAGGCGGCAAGACCAACACCTAACTTGCAACATTAAATCAATAAACAAGATACAATGTAATACGATGTTATACAACACAGGTAAACAGTAGAGGCGGCAAGACCAACACCTAACTTGCAACATTAAATCAATAAACAAGATACAATGTAATACGATGTTATACAACACAGGTAAACAGTAGAGGCGGCAAGACCAACACCTAACTTGCAACATTAAATCAATAAACAAGATACAATGTAATACGATGTTATACAACACAGGTAAACAGTAGAGGCGGCAAGACCAACACCTAACTTGCAACATTAAATCAATAAACAAGATACAATGTTATACGATGTTATACAACACAGGTAAACAGTAGAAATCTTAACCATGCATGTACATAAATGTTTAAATGTTGATTGCAAAAGAGCTGTCAGCGATATATTTCCCTAATTTTGTTTTACCTATTTTCTGGACGTTTGTTAACTTTCCATTCACAAATATATAAGGATTGCACAAGACAGAGGGCAGTGCATGCAACATCCCAATACTTGTATAATTTAGTTAGCAAATATGTGATGTCACATGACAACATTTACCACCTTCCATAGATCATTATAATAGCAAATAAACCATAATAAACTTATCATATCATACAGAATGCCTATCAAAGACGACATTACTATTGTTTTATATAATACATTTCATATCATATTTAATTGCATTATCTTTTTTTTGGAAATTTACTCTGAGCAACGTCGAGAGCACCACCATGGTTGAAGTCGGTATGTGAATATACCAGTAATTCAAAACGCCCTCAATGGTGGTTAATTTCATTCCAATACCGATAAAGCCGTATATTTGGTCATATGAATTATGTTTACAAACTTTGAGATGGCAAGACTTCTAACCTGAATTTTCAGAATCGCGAGACTTGTGCTAGGATTATCATTCCTTATTTCATATGGATATAACATTGGAAGGAAATCACTAAATTTAGGATTGTTTATGCAAAGTACATCAATATATATAAATATAGCTTCTTTATTTTTTGTATAATCAAATATTGTAAACAATCCTCATTGCTTCATCCGAGTTAAGAATCAAATCTGGCAGGAATGGAGGATTGTTGCTTCGCTTTGGATTAATGCTTTGCTTGAAATATTAACACAATAATTGATTACAGAGGTGATTTGGAGTATCTAAGGCCAACAATGTGAAAGATAAAACTTATTGTTATTTATTATTAAGTTTTTGTTCTTACATAAGTTTGTAATTTCATTCAGCTTTGTTCAGCATTATTTTAATTCCAAATGAAATGCGAAAATATAAATTATGAACAGATGCTCAGTAAGGACTTGTTCATGTTATACTGATTGTGCAATTACTAGTATATGTTTGAGGATTTTACTTACTGTGATATTTCGGCGGTGATACGATTAAAGAAATTCGCGCTCAGTGATCATGGGAACATCGAAAACATGAACAAATTAAAACTACAGATTGTGAAATGATGATACACTGCTGTCGACAAAACGAAACGTACAAAATGTTTTTAAATTTTAATTACACATTTTAGTAAATATGTTTGAATATATATATGTGTAAATATGATTTGGGGTTACTGTATTACTATTTATATTACTGATACCCTTTTTGAATTGTCGACTTCTATTTCCCCGCGGGGGCTGGATATTTTTAATAGCGCGTCTGTGTGCAGAAATACAACAACATAGATACAAATAAATATACTTGCATCACAATTGAAATATTCTACACAGACCCTACACATTTAGCAACCAGTGAAGGCAAAGTGAAATATTTACTGACGACATGGATATCAATATTTGTTATGTGAATGTCGATTCTGGTTAATCTACGGTGACAAATTTAATGTGGATTTGCAGTTTATTAAAGCTGTGAAAATATCGAAGCGCTGGGTAACTTAGTAGGCTATTGTCACATCTTGTACATACTTTTTTGACATCTGCATTGAAATTTGGGCTAATTTCTAGACGTTTTAGTCAAAATTCATGGAAAAAGAAAACAAAACTGTCCACTTGATAAAGACATTCTAAATAATAATAAGGCGCACGTCCACCGCAACAATTGAATTATTCAATTTTGAACTTAAAATTGTTATTTTAATAGTTCAATGACAAAACGCCAATATAACATTGCGATACACTTACCGGTACTTCATTTAAATTGACTACTAGTATCATAGAATGTGTTTATTAAGCGTAGAATTACCTCGCCCCCCAATACTAACGCGTTTGTCGATTGCCACGTATCGTTCGGACGTCAATAAAGCGTTATGACCTTTTAAGCATGGCCTTTTCAAATATAAAATTCATAGTATTCTAACTCAGAATAACGAGACGATTGTAAATAAAAATAACAGGTCATTGGTAATTTAAAAATAATATTCGCGTTAATAATAAGGTTACCTTACCCGTAAAATGTAGTCACTGATCGATTTTGTTAATTTGTATTGTATGTACATTTGTATACACAGAGTCTTGTAACGTTTCAAAGTCAGTATGATTGCCAGGGCGACGTAACATCTGTAAGCCCTTACAACAAGTACTGAAGGTACGTTACAAGACCCTGTGTTTGCATGCGACTGTTTCCAATCAAGAACATTAGTTATAGCTACTTTCACCATCCCAAATTTGAGTTTTTTCGATAAGTAAGCTCTTAGGGCGAGAGAAAATGATGTAGGATGTGATATTTTTGTCAAGAAATGGGAGGAAATTATTTCATTTTGATATGAGTATGACTTAGTAATTAAACAAGGAAAATGGAATGGAGATAGAATTCTAGTGAATTGGTCGCGTGTTTGGCAATATATTTGCGTACATACTGCTGTAGGTCAGTGAGAACGAAGCATACTACTGAAGGCTCATCAGTTTCACCGACAGAACCGGTTCACAATCTCGACATAATGTTCAAGATGTTGAGCAGGCATCCGAGGCTGACAGTCTGAGTAGCGCAACCACATGAGTCAACACTGGCCACAGAGGGCGCACTTACACGAGTGCACGTTCGAGGCCGAGCCTTGTTCGAGTATTCTTTATCTGTTCAATTTTAATTTCAAAACATTGGAATAGAGTGCTTGTATTTGACATTATTTTCCTCAATCGTTTCATGTAGTTAGTTTTTTATTATTGATTTTTTTGTTTATTTTATTTATGTGAATGTATGTGAATTCCATATTTAAAAAGATTATAGAGAATAACATAGCCTTAGCAAAATATTTGTAGAGCACAATTTTTAAAACCACAGAAAGTAATTACTCTATTTGTTCTTATATTTTACTAACATTTTATTTTTATCTCTTTTGTATTGTACGTTACTTTTTTGTATTTCTTTGTATTTATGTTCCTTACCATACAAAAACCCTCTGAAGGTTTTTAGTAGAGTAATAAATTTATTATTATTGTTCATAGTTTTTCCTAGTTATTTTCTCAGAAAAATAACTTGAAAACGTGGTGAATAAAAAATAAACAAATAAATACACAACAACAGAAATATTAGCGGGGAAGGTTTTATAGCTAGGAGATAATGATGAGTGTCGAGATCACTGCAGGAAGTTGACTTATACGGGAAATCCAACGTACGCCACGTAATGAGGTCATTGCTGTTAATAGGGAAGTGGCCGGGAATCCCCTGCAAATCACGTGACCTAGTATGGCGTTCGGCGGTTATGAATCATCGCTCTTGCTGTATTAAAGACAACATTCTGGGGTTGGTGAAGAGTTGTCGAAATAGACTGTTCGGGTTTTCTGCTGTTTGTGACTTGTATGTTAATGTGACATACACGTCAGAGGTAAGCCAGTATGCGTTTTTGCTGCACGAGCGTTATCATTGTGATTGTACAAACACATCAAATACGTAATGTATTTAATTTCGTTTGCGACACATCCTTATAATATTCTTTTTGAAATTTAGGTATATTTCAGTAAATTAGAATGAATATTTATTGAGGCAGAGCTAACGCCAGTGGTTTCGAGGCCATTATGACGACATATCGTAAGGTCCGCTATGCACGCTATAGGTTCATCGGAATATTCCGATCGTTAGGGGCGCAGGACCTTGACGACTTATTTGTGATGTAACATTGTCTCACTATTACTCTTAACCAACGACAGTGATAGCACAACTAGTGTTATTGTTTAACCCCAACATCCACAAATAAGTCGTTGATTTTCTGTGGTCAGAATGTGGCCGTCAGAGTACAGGGGCCTGACGATCATTCGTGTGGCGTGGTCACTGAAGTCAATACACATGGACGTCTGTAGTGCGGAACGACTACGTTCTTGCTCAAAATAATAGAAAATATAGAACTGAAACCGAATGTAATGCAAGCATATATCACACAATTTAATCATCCGCTCTCTGACACCCCCCAACACTAATATTAGTTTTGTGGTCGACCAGCCTGCACTATACTACCTAGCTACAGTAATAAGCGTTGTTGGATATGAGTTGGATATGAGGGGGTTTCTCCACTCATGTTGTTGGAATGTTTTACATACTACCGTATAAAACTTATACAAATTGCATTTTCCATAAATCATTAATTTATTCACATACATGTATACTAGTATTTTGCAAAGTCATCTTTATTTTACACTTGGTGGTCTGACAAACATTTTGTATAATACCCATAATTGACATTGTGAGAACTACCGGGTAGTTTGAAACGTGCTTTCTTGTCTCACCCTAGTTGTAAACTGACATCACAACTTTTTACTGGTACATCAAAAAATAAAGATTGAGTGTATGAACAAATAAGAACTGGGACAGTGCAAATACTGACAAATTCAACCTAAGTCATATACAATTCAAGGCATACTTATTATAAACACTTGAACAAAATAGCATTGCATATAATGCTTTGAAGGAAATTAGAAATAACAAACATATTGACTTACAAGACTATGTAAGCTCAAAAGTGTTTACAAAATAGACATGAATGTTACAAAAGAACACTTCCAAGAGGCTACCAAAAAACATTACCAAAATGTATGGAGCACTGACATGCAACGAGATGACTAAAAACTGAGAATATTTATAATATTTAAACACTATTCATCAAGAAACCTACCAAAAACAGTTGAATGATAAGCAGTAAGAAAATAAAGCAAATTTAGACTTAGCTGCCATAAATTACACATTGAAACTGGGTGACACAAGTACACTAGACCAAAAACTGAAGAAAATGCCCTTTATGTATCTAACTTGAAAACGACATTCATTTTATCACTCAATGTAAACTATACACAGATGAACAAAACTAATGTATTCTATGTTTAATTCCTCATCTGTTGAAAAGAAATGTATACTGTATACTATTCTATTTTATTCAGACAGCAATCCTTATTTTTATACACACAAAGCCACAGTTTAACACTCTAGCCCCCCAATGTAATTGTATATGCCCTCCAGATAACTATATATGTTCTGAAGAGGGGCATATACAATCAAAATGGGGAGGGGAGCACTGGAAGGGCAGAGTTAAGATTAGAGTTATGGATGAGGGGGTTCTGAGGAACTTTTATCAAGCAAATGAAGTGCAATGCTTTATAGGTAAATTCTTGATGACAGCCTCACTATATTGTTTAATGTTGTCATAAACAAACGCCACTTAAAGTTTCCAAGCAATCAATGTACTCTTTAGCTGTGTTGACCTCTGATTCATCTATGTACATAGTATATCGTGCTTGTCTACTGTCACAATAACACGGTTACAAGATTTTTTAAAAATAGAATTGACATAACCATAGAACAAAGTACAGCATGTTAAACAAATCAACTGAGGAGTATGCAGACAATACCAACATTTTTAATCCTAACTGTGTTACTACTCTATACTCTATACTCTATTTATTGCCTCACCACAGAGGAATTGTGACCCTACCAAAGCCCATGCAATATTATTTAAATACCACAACAGTTATAGGTACGCCTATTCTATTTTAGTTTTGACAATTGAAAACAAATCCTATTGACCAAAATCAAGTCTAAAGGTTTATTATTATTCAAATTTAATAATAATGAAATAGCACAGTGCCGGCAAATGTATTGCTGTTTGTTGATTTCCATGTCTGGAACTTTTTTTGTGATATTAGAGGTCAAATTCTTCAACTAAGTTTGATATTCGTCAGTATTGTATTGACCAATCAAATCAAAAGTTATTCAGGGCAATAATAACACATGCTCACCATCTCAATGTAGCAATACAGACCTATGCTTGTATGGAATTTGGTGAACAGTGGTATATGAATTCACAAATGCATCATCTATAACAACAGATAACACAGAAAATACTCTCAATCTCTTAATATTTGCGTTTTATAAAAGCTGAAACAAGTTTGAAATTTTCCTATAAATATGAGTGGTGGACAAATTAATCGGAGGTGTGGGTTGAAAGTGTGGAGATACATGTACTGTGTTTTCTGTATATTCATGTGATATTTGTTGTTTTCATTGCATAAAGTTTATTGTGGCTACTGTTTTTTTTCTTCAAAAGGTCATTGTTGCCTTTGGAACAACTGCTCTATTTTAATTAATAACAATTTATTTTTAAATAACTGAATCTTTGCTGGTGTTCTCCATAACCGGCTTGGTCCCTGCATGGTGTCATGATTTCAACTATAAGCCAAGGGTGGGCAAATTCCCTTATATTTTACGGGCTGAACTGTTACAAAATAATCACACAAATTTATAGGATAATATATTTTCATTTCATTTATAGTACTTGTTAATAAACCAACAGTATGGACATAAACATAAATAAAGTTACATTACAAGGATATGCTCTAAGTACAGGGAATAATAGGGTCTACTTATCAAATAAATGTCAAGTATATTTCAGCTGGTCCGAATGGCGAAATTAGTCTTCACCACGTAGCCGGTCTTTGTTGTATCAGGACACTTGTAGAGCGACTTTTCTTTTTGTCTTGCTATTGCGTAGAGGTACATATAGGGACTTGAAGGACTTGAAACAGAAGACACCAAAAAACAAGCTTTACATTCAAAAAGTAAGCAAGAGGGAAATAAACGAAACTATACCCACGTCAACGTCAAACCAAAAGTGGGAGCAAAATCCATGGCTTTCTTATGCAAAACATTGTGGATTTAAAAGCGTCACCAATGGTCCAAATCGTATTTAACCAGACACATGGACACTATTATTTTGTATTATATTTAATTTATGCCACACATAACAACGGGCAGATTAGGTACCTGCATTCTGATGCAGATTCCTTCCCTTCATATCTCACCAGAATTTGCAGTCATCACTGACTCATTAAAAATTTAAAAATCAACTTTTTCTATTTTCAGGTTCATAATGGAAGAACCCAAAGTCAGTTATAAATATCTGAAGTCGTTTTATCTAGAAAGACTAGTTTTAAACCAACACAACACAAAAGTAGTCCCAACATACAGTGAGCACTCAAAGATGTTAAAAAAAGTCAAAGAAGATTATGAACAAAATGTTGAAATATATCTTGCATGTATTCAACCGGAATCCAAGTTTAAATGGTTAAAGCTTCATACTTCAGTTGGTGGTAAAATCATCCAAGACGACTGTGAACCTCATAAAATGGCTGTTGCCTTTGAATGCTTTGAAAAGTATGCGCATAATCTATTAGTGTCACCATGGAAACCAATCTACAGACAGATTCAGGTAATTTAATGTGTTGAGAAATTTTATAGTTCATCCTCGAATGAAGCAGTCATGGATTCATATATACAGGATCTATTTGTGGTCAGGGTTCATATACAGGATCTATTTATGATCAGAAGTTCATATACATGATCTATTTGTGGTCAGAGGTTTATATACAAGATCTATTTGTGGTCAGAGGTTTATATACAGGATCTATTTGTGGGCAGAGGTTTATATACAGGATCTATTTGTGGTCAGAGGTTTATATACAAGGATCTATTTGTGGTCAGAGGTTTATATACAAGGATCTATTTGTGGTCAGAGGTATATATACAGGATCTATCTGTGGTCAGAGGTTTATATACAAGGATCTATTTGTGGTCAGAGGTTTATATACAAGATCTATTTGTGGTCAGAGGTTTATATACAGGATCTATTTGTGGGCAGAGGTTTATATACAGGATCTATTTGTGGTCAGAGGTTTATATACAAGGATCTATTTGTGGTCAGAGGTTTATATACAAGGATCTATTTGTGGTCAGAGGTATATATACAGGATCTATTTGTGGTCAGAGGTTTATATACAAGGATCTATTTGTGGTCAGAGGTTTATATACAGGATCTATTTGTTGTCAGAGGTTTATATACAAGGATCTATTTGTGGTCAGAGGTTTATATACATGATCTATTTGTGATCAGAGGTTTATATACAAGGATCTATTTGTGGTCAGGGTATTAAACACAATGCATGCACAAAATATTTCCAATATGAAAAAAAATTGTCATAATAATAAAAACATTACATTGAAATCATAATACATAACACAAAATATACACACATTGTAAGTGTTATTATTTTGAATATTGTTTTTTTACCCACCTGTTTTATGTGTGCATCCTAACACAGTCAAACACTTTTTATTAGCTCTTTCAGCACTAAAGTTAACTTTAGTTTACCCCAGACCATTCGTCCCGGTGTTATCGCTATCGCCACACGAGACTCCAGCTTGTCTCCTATACAATTTTCCTTCCGCCCACTTAATTTTAATATTCATATGACCTTTGCACTGACATCGATAGCCAATCGCATTCGACCGCGGACGTCACTCTAAATAAACAACTGAATAAATTAATATACCATATTTGGAAGATAGCGGGTAAATTCAACCTTGTTGGTGTGTTCCTTCGGGTTCCGAAGTCGCACGAAACGAGTTCATGTTCCGTTATCTTTCGCAAGTAAAACAGGTCGATATGTATTAAACAAGGCATTTGTTTTCTTGTTTTAACCCCCTTATTACGCAAGCTTCCGTCGAAGTGGTGTTTTTTTCGACGATTTGTGGCATGTTGCAAAACGAACGAAACATTGCGGCATTCTTAGCGGTGGATAAGGGATCGACTATGTCGTCACATTTATGTCTCGTTTGAAAGAGAATAAACAACCTCTCAGAAAAATATGTTGCTAATATTTAAGTGCGGTGCCTTGAAATCGCCTGCCCGACGTCCAAATTTCAAAAGGATGTTCGATTTGCAATGACGACCGTTCATATGTACTAGGCGACGTTACTAATTACTACTAGGGTCGGTGTTTGCATTAAGAATTATAGAACAAAAGATCAGCAAAGCGGTGCTTTTGTCGGCGATTTTGTCAAAGGGAATATTGATAAAATGTTGCAAAACAGAATCGCGAGTTGGGTGAAAAATTGCGCCGGCGGCATTCTCAGCGATGGCGACACCCGAGAAACACCGTGTCACGGTGCATTCGTGCATCAGTACACCGAAGAAATACATACATATTGTTGCGGACGACTATTGTAGACTGTGTTCGTGTAGTCTTCGAGTTTGTGGACAGTTAAAGTCGTGTGTGAATTTATTCAAGCCAGGAAAAGCAGGAGGGATAACTTATGGAAATAGTCTTTCCAATTTGATCCAGTGCGACGTTGTGAAAGGAGCGACTCTGTCGTCTCATCTATGTCTAGTTTGTAAGAGAAAGATTGATAGCGCAGAAAAATCCGCCAATAATGTAAAACAGTGGCGTGAAATTGTCAGTCATTCTAATATCTCCCAACCTGTGAACGAAAGGGTTAAGCGTGCTGCCTTGAAATCGCCTGCCCGACCACTCCGATCCTGAACTAATCAAAACTAAAATGGCGCGTGTCACGTGACTTTGTTTACTAAAGATAGCGTGGGCGTTTGATTGACACTCAACTCATTAGTATTCCACCAATCACAGCTACATCTACTTTCTGGATGTGCGCAGTCAAATTGTATAGGAGACAAGCTGGAGTCTCGTGTGGCGATAGCGATAACACCGGGAC